TACCGGCTCCAGCTTGGTCAAACTCGTGGTCAACAACCCTGGTCAACGCATTGGTCAACGATGCAGTCAACCCCCGGTCAACTCCCGATCAACTCAGGTCAACGCCCGATCAACTATGGCTGTCGGCTTCTCTTTCCTCACCACCCTTTTCCTTCCCTTCTCCTTCCTCGCCTCCTTTCTCTTCACCCCGACTGTCTTCTTTCTCTTTTTTTTTTTTTTTTTTTTTTTGTTCGTCTCTCCTTCACCTCCTCGTCTATGGCTTCCTTCGCTCCGCTCGGTCTCCTCCTGTCCTCTCTTTCACGCTTCTTCGTTTCTCTGTGGTCGAGCTATGCGGCTATGGCCGCCTCCTTCTTCCTGATGGGACTGCACGGCACACTTCAAAGGTACGTGACAACCAAACTTGTATCGCTCGGTTCTCTCTCTTTCTCTCTCTCTCTCTCTCTCTCTCTCTCTCTCTCTCTCTCTCTCTCTCTCTCTCTCTCTCTCTCTCGCCATAGCGATGTCTTCAACGCAGGTACGTGGTAAGCCAATCTTGTATCGCTCAAGCTTTCGCACTCCCTCTCTCTCTCTCTTCGTCGTGGTCCTCTTTTCAGGTGCGCGTGTCGGCTTTGTCAACCTCCGGGTCCGCTATGGCGGACTTCTCCTCCGACGGCTACTTCGGCTATGGCCCGTAGCTCTTCCCTGCGACACACGACGACGCGCGTGGAATAGCGGGTACCAGCTCTGATACCAATGCAATCAGACTCGCTATTTTTCACACTTCACATGTATGCAAACAGGTGCGCAGCAAACTGGCGACAAGCGCCCACTCAAAACTCAGAGATATGGTAGCCAAGAACACAGTTCAGATACAAGTTCATTTCAATGGCTATGGCGACACAGCGCCCACTCAACTCTCTGTTCGCACACACAGGATCACCTTGGATATCCCACACGCGTTACTCCGTACACACATACACTGCACACTATCTACAGCTATGGCGGCTATGGCCGCTGCTACCCTATCGCTATGGCTAAGCTTCTTCTCTCTCGCCCACTTCGTCCTCGGCTTCACTGCAGACCACCCCGCACAAGTCGCTGTGGCAGCGCTTCCGCATGGCTCACCAGGAATGAATGAATGGCTGGACGCTGCTCTTTGATTTATACTTCTGTAGCTCGTTGGTCTGGCCCTTTCCCTTGCTCGTTGGTCTGGCCCTTTCCCTTGCCCGTGGTGCACACAGTCCCATGCGGTACTTGCTTGACTGGACTAGGACTGACTGGGACCGGTACTGCTGACTGCATGGGTTTGCACTGCCAACTCGATGCAGTCGCACTGCCGACGTGCTGCAGTTGGGCTCACCACTTGCCCACTTGCCCACTTGCCTCAGCCAAGACCTGAGCAACTTTGAAAGGCCACTGCTAGGACCTTCCAGAAGTCTGGGTCCTGGCCTTTCGAAGACTGTAGCAGCTACAACCTCGACCCTTTAGGACTGTAGCAGCTACGACCTTGACCTTTCAGAAGTTTACGGCTATGACTTCTAGAACTCCCTAGGACTTCTACTCGACATATTACAGATCGAACCCCTGCTACCTACGGACCCTTGGACAGTCTATCAACCGTTACAAATACACAGGTCACGGGTTCAACTCTCGGGATGGACACAAATACTGTACACAGGTAAGGTGATGACTAGGGACCGAGCCCTGGGATCTGCAGTCGCTACTGCTAACTGGTGAATATCGTTTCATCACGAGCTATACTATTGTCACAAGTTTCCTTCAGTCTCAGCCCATGCCGTAACGAGCATCAAACTTTTGTCTCAGTAAATCTTGGCTCTCTCTTTTGAACACTTTGCTTTTGTGTCGATGCTGTAAGCAATTTGTTTTTTTTTAGGTGTTATTTTTTTTGGAGATATCTGGCTTACGCTTTCAAATATGAACATGAAAGGGAGTTGTGTAGAATCCAGTCAAAATGACTCTGATCACACACCCTGCGACAATCAGATTGGACACATCTTCCAATCCCGAACTATCAAAATTAAAAAAACAAATTGAGAATGGGTTGAGGAAAGGAGGAAATTCTTGTAATTACCTTCTCAAGGAAAAGAAAGTGAGCAAATCACCTTGTTGGAAAAGGTTTTGCACCTGCGATGGGGCATCTTCAAAGATGCACGGCAATGGGTACGTAGGTTGTAAGAAGTGTTTTGCTGTGTATGCGTTTATGACAACCAACGGGACGAGCTCTTTGAATAACCAAAGTGCCGAGTGGAAAACACAGATGCAGGGGCCATGCGCCTTTTCTCTACGACCGTGGAACCCACAACCGCACAGAGAAGGAAAGCAAAAGGGCCTTTACCCGATATAGGCCTCAGGCCTTGTAAAAATAGAGCAGCACGGGCCTTGTAAAAGTAAAGCATTGTGAAAAGGTATCTTGCCAGG